CATTGATGGATATTGCGGTTGCTTCTGGTATATTGTGTAACGGCACGCGGCCGCTACGCTTCCGATAGGTTTCTCCCCCCCCCCCCCTCACCCTCCTCGTATTCGTACGGCTATTTAATTAATGACGGCCGACCCCTCGCACATTTTTCGATAATTATCGAGACGTCGCGTCGCGGCGCGTTCTGCGCTTGCTATATGGGCGGTCGACAGACACGCTCGAGAAAATATCGTCGAGAGTTGCTCCATGCCAGGCGGTTTTCAATATTTCGTAACACGCGTGTACTGCTTTCTTAATCCTCATCGAATTTTTGGATACTTGGGAAAGCACGCAGCGATGGCGCATTGCGAATTAATCTAGTACGTCCGGAGAAGCATAGTGATTTTTGATTTCTAACGAGACTTCATTTTTACGATGTAAAGTGTAATAAGTGTACTTTACGGAAAAATGTTGAAAAGCTTCTTCTCCAACGCGTGTGTCTAAGCAATAAATTCTCCGTAATGGATAGATGGGGATGGGGATGCGCAAAACGGTGGGAAGTTCGGAAGCTGACTAAACAAGTAAACGCTCCATAAGCGCGTGCATGAGACGAATTTGACATACGTCTGGGTTAATTTGAAATTCGACACGCGTAATGTAATGGGGAACTGAGAGAGACTTGATCAATATTCTAGGGAGAATAGTCACAGACCCTTTCACAGACTAAATACGCTTAACTACGTCAAAATTTAATCAATTGTCGCATTAGCTATTCATTTCAACATTGTTCCCATGAATCTGAATTGATATTAGATATTGGATGAATATAGATTTATATGAAAATCAGATATAATTAATATGCTAAATCTTGATTTTTTACTATTACTTATTTTCATATTCGCAAAGCGTCAATTTTTTATTCTGAATTTTTATATCTTATTATGGGATACTGTATGTAAAACGTGAATCTTGTTACATAAGTTTCAAACTGAAAAGCTTTTATTTCCTTCATCACGTGTTATATAATATGTGTAATTCATGTGTTATATAATATAAAGTTTCAAAAAATTTCATGAAGTAGTCTTTATTCGCATTAAATTATTCTCTTTATTACTTTTGAAATTCTAAAAGATTCTTGTCTACCTATCGAGGCATATTATTTCTTTTCTCTTCTCATTCTCAACTTCTGCTTTAATATATTCTTATCTAAAGTTTCGTGTGGCTTTGCGGCTGTGAAACGAGATTCTGTCGATCAAAATGCAAATTGCTGTCAGCGATGAGCTCACGAGCAGTGGCGCTATTATGCAAGGCGGACTACTAAACAAAGAGGCTAATCAAGACCCACCCGAATGCAAAAGCGTGATTTCAATTTCACAGTTGGAACGCTTCGTCTTCATTGCGTTAGCTTAAGTGCAAAGATGGGAAATGAATACCTCCGTCTCTTATCTAACAATAGAATTCTGTGACATAATGCGGCGTATGATTGAATAATTATTGATTTAATTAATTTTGTTACATTAAAAATAAAAATATGTAAGAATTCATTAATCTTTTAGATTTTTACATTTGACCTATTGTGAATTATCTATCTATTGGTAGATTATAAAAATATTGACAAAGATAATTGAAATTGTATTTTTTAATTAAATAATTTAACTAATTAATTTATTAATTATTTTTTTGAGTTATACAAAGATATTAAAGTATTTTAAATATTTTCATAATTTTAATAAATCATGTTTATTATAAATAACTTCAAAATAGTTTTGATTTTAAAATATATTATATTAATAATATAATTTAACTATGAAATAGTGATTTGTTAAATTTTTGCTTCCAACAATAAAAATAAAACAATTCGAATAATTTCAATTCTGATAATTCTAATTATTATCTTTATATTGTTTGAATAATTTATAGAATTTTTATGAATAAATATTTCATAGAATTCTAATAATCTTTCTGCTTTTTGCATTATGGATTTTTCTCTTTCAGAATAGATATTAAACTCTTCCCTCATCTCTTGTAGACTACTTCACAATAGCACACTCGAGCGATGTGAATACATGACGGTAAATCACAGTTTGCCTATTCATGCGAGTAAATACATTAATAAACAACATGTGCCCAAGGTGGACGATTAAAACCGCCGCCACGTGAATCGCGGTTAATTTATATGCAGACGCAGACTGCGTGTCCATTTTCATCCCTACGAATCCCCTGTGAGAGATGCGCGCCTCCCCTAACGAGCTCTTTATGTACAACGCCGACTTACCCTTTTCCCATAAATTTCGGGTGGCCAAATATTGGTACTGACTCGTGTCGGTCTGTTATTATGATCGGCACACTCCGTGGGATGGCACTACGTGACAGAACAAGAATTATCGATAGTACTTTCCGAAATTATAATTCAGATGGTGATATTTTTAAATACATATTGAAATAATTTATAAAGTATTGCTAAATTATATTATTATTTTTTGTCCTTAAAATATCTTATTTTGAAGGTTATCTTATTTTTAAGGTCTTTGCCTGATTTTTCTTATGTCACATATAAATTTTATACACTAACGTTTATATATTTTAATACATTCATAAATAAATTTTTTATTAAGAAATATATAGAATAATAGAATATCATAGTCATCATTTTTATAATTCTTCATTATTAATTATTTATTTATGAATTAGTTAATCAATTTGACACTTATTTTCTAAACAAAAACTTTTTGCAGTGCCATTTTTTGATTCCTTAATATTACAGTATTAATCATCCTGATAAATGAGTTTTAGACTAAACCGAAGCAAATTTTCTTTGAATTTAAATGAAGGATATTGTTTTTGGCTATACAAGCGGTCACAGTATAGTCGCACTTTTTGTATGCGTCGCACATACTTGCCACATCCGGTTTCGTTCTCGATCACCCAGATCCCTCGGCGACGGTGTTCGTTTCTCCGAAAAGACGAGTCTCACGCGCTCTCAACACTCTACGCCGATCGCGTTATGGTCGACCATCCTCACGCACCATGAGGGCGGAAATACGTGGGCGATCGGGCGCACGTATAATGGTTACACCGCGCGTCGTTCTCCTCTGGTTTCTCGTATGCCCTCGTATGCTAAACCTCAATGTTTATGCACTCCGAGTCGGTGATGCGGCTCGATATAATTCACCCACATCGGTCGCAAGACAACACAGCCACTTGTTCACTTGTTGGTATTCGAATTTCGGTGGGAAAGCGGGAATGCCGGAGAAAATTGCGCTAATAGTGCAATATCGACATTTTGCGAAAGAGACTGCGTCGCTTTTATCGGAGGTATGCGGAGAAACTGGTCGCTCAAATTGGTATTTTGTTGAGAACGTGTATCTATTTGTAGACATCTAGACTAGCGATATTATGCCTTATTGAATTATCAGGGATAAACGTGAAAAATTAAGGAGATTCTTTATAGTAATTAAAATTTGAATTATTAAATATGTAAATGTGTATGATAATTGGTATATAAAATTGAACATAATGATTTTTAACAAGAAGAATGAAAATATATTTAAATATGTTTTAATAGTTATGCGTGAATTATTTTAACAAATAATAAAATATGTAAATGTATTTTATTAATTGTTTAAACGACTCAGAATTAATTTAATAATGTAATGAATTGTAAAATTGTAACATTGTAAAAAAGAAACAAAAAAAATTATTTTTAAAGGCACTTATTATTAGACGAATCAAGATCGTCAAAATTTATAGTAAATTATTGTTACTTTATAGAATTGTATAAGTATAATTTATAATCTGTTGGCTTATTTCATACTACTGTTTGCATTGAAAAGTTAAGAATATCACTGTGCAGCTGATACGATTTTGCACAGATGCGCTTCAAGTATAATATCCTAACCGGGTATTGGTTTAAGGGATGCGCTCGGGAGAGGGATATTGACGTTTCTCTCCCGTGGGTGTTGCAGCACCCTCGGCCAGAGAGTCTGCCAGCTTTTGTCGCAGAATTCAAATCACGTTCCCCTTGTTTACCCTCGTGTCGAGGGGGATAACTGCCAGTAACAGATTTTGCGTGTGGCCACCGTGATTCCGTAACGATGTGAATAGATCTGCGAAACCGTTCCGTTCCCTTCCGTCTCGATTGCTTCCGATGTCCGGACATGTGTTGAAAACGTGTGATTAATGTAGCGATAAAATGACTTGTAGCGATTTTCGCATTAAATTTAGAAAATGCTTGATTTAAAAAAGTTTTTATTAATATTTTTCATTTATATGTTATATGTACTTTGGGTACATATTTTCGAGATTTTGTGATACATGTGACATAAATAAATTATTCTTAATCTTGAAATTAATTTTCTAAAGTATTAAGGTGCTCAGCAAATTGTTTTATCGTGTTACAGAGTCGTGGGGCTTTTGCTTCTCTGGTCCGGAACTTGCTCGGACCGATTTACGGCGACGGTGTTATGAATCTGGTGATAAGACAAGCGCGGGATATCCTAGTTTGCGCTTATCATGGCAACTTGGAGAACTTCGTTCGGACTTATCTCTCACCTGCCGCAGCTCTACTAGCGGAAGTCAAGAATGTCGCCTCCGAAACGGTGAGTTTCTTTACAACGTGACGATTGTATCATTAGCGTATTATCCTGAAACGTTTGCAGTAGGATGGGAACAAAACGCAATTAAAGAAAGTTGTTTACGCAGATAGATAATTCCGCGAAGCAATTAAAGTAATCAGGTGCATGCCCTCCAAGTATGGTTAGATATCTGGGATCCTGTTTGCGGGTACGATTACAAAATTCCAGTTACTTTGTTTTTTAAGATATCATCTGTGTCAAGGGACGTAAAATTATATCGAACACCTATCACCACTATAATTTTATTTATAATGTACTTATAATGTACTTATAATGTACTTTATTTTAGAACTATCTTAATTAACGTAGTTTAGTTACCGAAAAATCGAAGAAATGAAGAGATTCTTTACTACTTTAATATGTACAAAATTTAAAGTGTCTGTTGATTTTTTTCTACATATATTTATTACGTAAAATGTTTAAATTTGTTGATCAAATTATTTAATAGGCTATGCTTTAGGGTTGAAATTTAAGTTATTTGAAAGATCATCCTCTTGATTGCCTTAACTATTTTCGAGGGGTCTTAATTAACGCACTCGTTTGCCCCATGGATTTGAGATATCGGTTGGGTGCGCGAATGCTCTCTCGAGAGATCCCGTACCCTCGCAATTTGCAATTAAACACGTGTGAGCCACGTGCTCCGATCACAGCGCGGACTTCTTTCGCCCTTTCGAGGGTAAAGGGTTGCTGCTGACTCGCGAGAACAGATATTAACAACGGGGCGGGCTTGTTTCTTCATTATGTCGCTTTGAGGGTTGGCTCAGCCGACAGTCGTTTCAGCCATCGTTTACAACAGTTTAATTGAACTTGTCGTTAGTACAGAATAGAGATTGCTACTCAAAAAGTGTGCGGTTTGTTCCTTTGCAATAAGATAACATTATACGAATGGCACAACGATTTGCATAACAATGCGGCTGATACAATGACTAGATTACAATACAAATAAATTTCTGACAGTGACGTTCCTCTAAAATTTATGAAAAATATTAATATAATTTTAAAATACTGCGCTTTATTTTAAAAGTTTACATTCACATAAAAGTTTAATTGATAACATAAAGTTAATTTGATAATACAATATTCTTAGAATCTTTATAATATTTTTGTTAATAATATTTTTGTTTTTTTTTTTTAATATAATTCCGAAATATTTTGTAGCGACAAAGAATAAAAGAATATTGTCTTTTCTTATTTTTTGTTAGCTTGACAAATTTGTGCGAAATTTATCGGCGAAACGTAATCTACAGCGAACACGAGCGAGAAATGAGAAAGTACTCATAAACGTAAGAGCGGATTATACGAGGTTTAAAATTTGCAAGCCGCTCGATCGGGCCGTTCTCTTATTACTCGTGCGGCCAAGGGACGATAAGCGTCCACGTCGTCGGACAATTCGATACCATCGTGATACAGCACGCGCTCTCGCAGGTGATGCTTCTTAAGGTGGCGCAAAAAGATTCTCGCCTGGGATGCGCACCTGCGTTGTCGGACTAGTATCTTTACTGCGGGCCCCAGCGCCTACGCGCGCCCCCGCGAATATTTACACCTCGTGTCTTGCCCGGCCGTCCTCTTTCTCCCCCTTTCCCCTCCCCCTCCTCTTCCCCCTCCCCACCCTTGTCACTTTTTTTCTTATCTGTCGCTTGCGTTTTATCGTTGTTCTGCGCCAAGCGAAAATGTGCCATGGAGAGAAGAGGCTCTTCGCCCGAGGTAACTGTTACGTACGCGAGCGGCCAGGCTCGTAAAATCTATTTGCTCGGGCCAAACATCCTCCGCGCTCTCGTACCCCAGTCTCCGATCTTACTTATCCTACTTATCACCGTCTCCGGTTACGAGCGGAGCAATCTCGGCGAGCGGCGATATTCCGTGTCGCGCGTCTTTCTCGCCGTCGTTATGTCTACGATTATAAGTGAGGACAAACGAGGTCCAGCCTCGTAAAACTGTGAGGATTGTGTCCGAACTAAGATATTCCAGCTTCTAGCGCTATATTTAAATTTCCCCGTTTCTTGCAATAGTATTTTTTTATGGCTGTTCCTTCAGACGACGATTTCGCCGGATCGACGCGAATTGATCGTGTATTAAATCTTTAATTGGAAGCCTATAATATTTTCGTGCGTTACGCGTCATAAATGATATATCTACCGACCTATAGAAGACATTTATAACACTTTCTTTTCACAACTGTTTTGGTCTCTTTTGGTCTGAGAGGGCTCAGCAGGATATATAACGTATGCAATGTGTGACACTAATGATCTCAGAGATTTGCCCTCGCAAATATTCGCGGAGAACGGGACTGCGTAGCAACGTAGGAATGTTGTCAAAGAATGGTAGGTGTATCCCATGGGACGACGATAGCACGAAGACACCATAACGGTGCTCCGTCCGAACCGATTGACAATGATTGAAGGCTGCGGGCCTCGTCTCTCAACCGTCCGAACCAGGGTCCTCAATCTTTGTGTAAACCACCAATATATATATCTTATCCATTGATCTCCTTTTGCCTTCATCTCGTGGATGTGCATGAGATGTGTCGGCGCCGCCAACAAAAACGGAAAACGTCGGCCCACGCATTTACCATCGTAACATCGATTTCACGATCGTTCTAAACACGATGATGCTACCTCCCATAGCGCTTCCGTTTCTCCATGTCAAATTTTTCCAGTATATTTCAAGTGAATTCGCCAGAGCTACTTTTATTTCATGAATTAAATTTGAAATCATCAAAAGTATCAAGATTATATTTTGACTTTTGACAATTGTAGCAAATCTCAAAAGTTTATATAAATGTTACTTCTTAGAATATTCTTTTACACTGATTTTTAAATATTAGATTATATTTGTTGTATTTAGGCTACTGATATTTATGAGATTGCTAAAAGATTTATTTAAAGAAGAAATAATTATTATTTATCATTTATATTTTTTCTGCTTTTAAAAATATTATTAATTAACATCTTTGTTTTTGTATTTATATGAAATATGCTATGTTACAATTTAAGAAAATATTATTCATCATTTATTCTCTCTTTATTTTTAATAGTATATTTTATTAATTAATATTTTCTCTTTCGTATTTATATTTTATGAAATATACTATGTTACATACATTTCAAACGTTAAAGCTATTTTTTAATAAAATGTTAACGCGCAAAAATAATTATATAATCCATTTTTCTCTCTGAATAATTGAATACGCAACACTTATTTAGACATAACTTATACGATACATGAAGTTGCATACATTTCGTAGAAACGTCGATGTAATTTCTCGACGAAAACAAAAAATGGATTTAAAACTTTGGAAGAAATAGTGGCCAATCGATAATACCACTTCGCTTTTCATCCAGCTATCAAGATGTATATCATTCGTTCAGGTTGATGGCCCCGATTAAACGCCGCGTAATTATTCGGCAATTTACGTAATAATTATGATAGTAATGAAACGCCCATTTAAAGGGTGGACACTGTTTTGCATAAGCCAGGAAGGCGATGGATTACATAATCGCTTACCTCCGGCGTTGATCCGCGCAAAAAGTGAGACGAATTTCTAATGATACCCTTGGTCACATCGTCAAATTGCCGAGCGGATTTGGCGAGCGGCGGCGAGCCAGTGCCTCGCATGCTGTGCTCGAAACGGTAACGTGGCAATAAAACATGTAACTACGCGTCGCTTCGATAGCAGATCGCGATAAGATAGTCTTTTGCCGGTTGTCATCGCCTCGCGAAGCCAGCGGTGAGGATAGTAACGACGACAACGCGGCGGCGGCGGCAGTCGGGAAGCGGAAGATACGTCGATCGACAACTTGTTTCCGTCAATTGCATTCTACACTTTGCGTTAGTTTACATGCGCTTCGCGTATCGCCAATTAAATTCAATCTTTAAAATATCGTGTATGGAATATAATTTTGTTACTGACTTTCCAAAGGTATTCACTGTGCGAAAACACAATCGAAATGATGTAAAAAAATACACGTCTCTGAAAAATTCCAGAGAAATGCATACGGTAATTCACGATGATATTTGCGATGCACATGATGTTGGTTGTTCCGCCTTCAAGATATCGACGTCGCCGTTGTATTCGGCTTTCCTCGGCAAGAAAGCGACGCGGAGAAATCTCAGGGATCGAAACACTTGTACTTTAGGAAGATTGGAACGAAGATTGAGCGGTTTCTTGCGCTTCCCGGGGAGCGCGCGCGCTCGCGCGTAGGATAGAACCGCCCGAGGAACGGTTCCGTGATGTTCCACGTCCGGGCGGCTAATAAATTAGCCTCATAAAACTACGAGCGCCGCAAAAAACCACGCGGCTACTTCGTAAGCTCATAGAGCCGCGTCGAGAAATCCGCCTCGGACAAGCCGCACGCGAGTTATCCGCGTGGTCTCTCTTGCGGCATCGGTCCTCTTGAAGATACGATTTAATTGGTAGTCGGCTTCGTCGTGCCTTTTACCTCCGGCGCATCCTTCAGCTGTGAATCGCGCTTCTTAAGCAGGGAGGATATTGTATCCATTCAATTCGGTACAGCTCCGCGTTTGTAGGGAATTTATCTGTACCAATAGAACGGTTAATTGCGCCGTCCAATTTAATCAACCTGGAAGGGAGGGTGGAGTAATCGGAAGATAGAAAGACATCCGCATTCAGGCTCAGAAATAATACTATTTGATTGGAATGCACACGCAATCGCGCGGCTGTAAAAGCGAGCAACCGTTGATACACAATGTCGTTGCACGAATTGTGGTTCAACGAAATTCGATTAAAACTATTACCTCCCTCGCAACGAGAACTCGACATGATTTACGCGGTCTCGCGAGATCCATTATACGAGCGGAAAATTGGTGCACGCGATGCGTCATACCCGCCGCATCGTCGCGCGCCACAATGCGAGGGATCAAATTGGAAATCGGAGAAAGTAGCTACCGTAAATCGGCGAATCGATTGGCGGCCGTTGGATCCGAGAAAGCGGGCGCGGAAACTGCGCAATTCCGGCTCTCGAGGAGCTTTTCCGCTTGTTCCTCCTGTACCGAAGAAACCGCTTCTGCTCTCGTGAATGCACGCGTGTACGCGCGGCACTTCGCGGACTCGCACGTACGCACTTCGGCTTCCTGTTCTCTCGGTCGTTAAGCAGCCGCCGTCACC